AACTATATGCGGAGGGAAGGTGACCAATTTGTAATTTTCTCATTGAGCCAGACGTCATGAAATGACGCTAATTATATCTATAAATGTTGCACGCACAGCCGTATGTTGAAGCGTTGCAAACATTTATATAAACAGTTGTTTGCACTTGCGCAACGATGCCAACGGGAACATGGCCATATTAGCAACACCAGACGCGATAAGCATATATGAAGCGTTGGTGCTCGCGAGTATGGTAGCCCTGGACACTGCTACATAAATCAACTTCAGCACATGGCACCCAACTACAATTGACGTAATCCCGGCGGAACCGCTGTATCATATGGCGTACATATGTAATGTTTATAAAATTGGGTAGCCCACACTGCCACCACAATTGACGTTTCGCGAACATTAAGAGCTATTGGAAAAGTACTATCTGGCGTGACTCTGCGGTAGAATACGTGATTGTCACGCAGAATGCTTTGCTTCAATTCCTGCTGGAAACCTGACATTTATTTTTTTGCCTTCGTCGGCTCAACGCTACCAATGTCAGGTTTTTCTGAACGCTCACACGTTAAAATTGCCCATGTGTGTTCTCGTCGAATTCCTGGGTAGGTACTGTCAATCATCTGTGGCACATACCCTCCAGACAGTGGCATATACCTGCCCGCGGGTATGTGTCATTTTTTGGCGGGAAGTCTTTGACGACGTAAGCGACAGGATTGCAACATTATTCATGTCTTGACCAGCGCGTCGAATTCTTCGTCAAACCATCTGACTCTCCAGTGCTAATTTTGGTTCAAACCAAGTTAGGGGGGTGATCACGAGAGCACCCAAACGTAAGCAGCTACTAGATAGACAGGCAGATAGACGCCAAAAGTCCCTTACAGTACGCAAAGAAACGCACCACCGGAGGAGCACCAGACAGGGGCGCCCATGGCGCAACGGCAGCGTCTGCAGCTCTGCGCGTCAGGGTCGCACTTGTTGCTAGCGCCGCGGCCGCACTAATGTCACGCAAGGTCGGGCGCGCAGGCCGCTTCGCACCTCGGTGAAAGCCGCGCAGTCTGCGACTGCGAATGGGGCACCGACAACGCAGGATGTCACCACACGTCGGCTTCCCGAGACATGCATGCCCGTAATAGCGTTGGCAGATGCGCCTCGCGCCGCAGGCGCTTTACGTAACGCCCCGTAACTTGGGCCACAATTAGGGCTTCCGTGCAATCCACGACGACCGCCCGAACGGCGCGCTCCTCTGAATTAATATCACACATCGCGCGCCAACGGTGAGCGCTGTTGAATTGCTGCGGGCGCGCGAGCCTTCACTTGAGTAAACCTATTACGAAACACCAGGGGGAATGCGACACGGCCCGAGAGGTTTACGTAATGCTTTCATGTAAATGAGTTAATCCTTCGGGGAAATCACGGCGTTCACAGAAGAAACAGAGTTAACATCGCGGACTTACAGGGTATATGCGTGAGACTCGAAAGAAAACGACATCTACCACGCAGTACACATTTTTTTTTTGTTTCGCCGTGCCCTAAAAACCAGCGACAATAGTCGCTCGCGTTCCTCTCGCCCTTGCTTCAGCGCCGTGACTTTTGCATCAGGGGCCGCCAACTATGTCTCCGGTCACGTATACATGTAAAATATGAAAGCAGCAACGCTAAGCGACGGCGCATCAGACTAGACTGTCCGAGGAAAAAGAAGATGTCGCATGGTTTTTCCTGTCTTCGCTATAGGATAACTGCATGAGTGCATCGCCGACCTGATCAAGTCTACAATATTTTATCGCCGTTGTATGTGGGCTTTGATGACCAGCTGTTTACAGAGCGCAAAGTTCCACGCAAGGGAGTATTTTTTTTTTCAATCAGATTTCACGCATGCAGACATATATAACACGACATCATCATGCTTTCGCCTAAATATGCGATTTTTTTTTTTCGCCTGTTTTTGTCGAGTCCGCATTAAGTACGCCTTTGGCGACTATATATAGGTTCCTCCACCCCGAAAGAACGAACTGAATAAATAAATAACTAAAACACAAAGTCATATGAATCATGTACTCCAAACCATGGAACAGCTTCACAATCGTATTATAAAGCAGATGCATGCATGTTAACCTTAACCTGAATATTCTCCTTAGATAATCATACGAGCATGCCAAACGACAGCCTATTTCGGAGCGAAACAACGCAAGGTTACAGGAAGGACAGGACATTCGCAGTGACCTATACTTGAACGAACAAGCGTTCTTGAAATGTTGCCTGAAACAGTTAACCTTAACCAGTCAGTGATGATCGGCTCATCTCCAAGTGCATCCGAATCGCACATTAAAGAACAAATTGTGCGACACGTAAGTTTTTATCGATATCAAAAGAAATATCGCTTGAAAAAAAATTGGCTCTAAATAGTGTAGATATGAAAGGCTGCTTTTAATGAGTGCTTGAGTTACATTCTAGGCAAATCACATGCTAACAGCTCCACAGAATGACATCAGACTTGGCACTATTTGCGATGCTGGCCTAACTTCAAGCAGAGTCTTTATTTTATCTCGGTCCGTTGAGCTGAAGAGGGGATAGCGTGCATAGAGCTAGCCGCGCACATGCGTGCAAGAGAAGGCACGTGCGAGCCATGGGAGTCGGGCAATGTGTCCATTATCGTCCCGGCAAGACCTCCCTTCAAGAGAGTTGTGCACTTAAATTTCACCCTCTTCCATTCACTGCCATTGTTAAACATCTCAAACCAATGCAAGGGTTATCATTAGAGGCAATCTAGAGCGGGACCCCGAATTATACTGACCACTCGGCGCACTTAACGTGCACCCGAAGCAAAGCAAACGAGCCAAGTATGCACCGTCTGGCGCCGTCATCATCGAACTCGCAAACTTCCACTCAAGCAACGCCATAGACTACATAGTAGCGACCGTCGCGCGACGCAACAGGCACAGACAGGGAGGCGAATCTGATTATTTTCTTTCGTGGGAGACCCGATATTTCGGACGTGGCCTGGAAGTGAGCCACAAAGAGCGCATGCTCGCGCCTGATCTCGCAACGCCGATAGCGGCGTCGCGAGGGAAGATTGCAAGGACAAAGCGAAGAAAGCGGAAACGAGACGAGTGTGGGGCGGCAATTTACTTTTAATGATAGCGCGCACTAAATAACAGGACGCAGAGCAGCGCCGAGCTCGCAGAAACGACCATTCGCGATTCCCCGCGATGCATATGCTATGCACGGCGCCCCAAGAAGCGGCACAAGTCAAACGTGGCAGTGATCCAGGGAGAGCAAGAAGAGGGCCAAACCGTGGCACCGCGAACCTGGCGCCTATAGTAACGCGCGGCATTGACGGAGTTCGCTTTTCTTGCACGTGGCTGCTTGCAGAGTTGAAAAGGAGCAAAAAAAAAAAAAAAAGGGAAAGAAAAACGATCGCATGAAATGCGGGACTCGCGCGAGACAAGGACGCGACCAAATCGGTGGCCGCGCCGAGCTGTGCTGCTGGCAGCGCAAGCGGATTGCACGATCAGCGCAACCAAGTCCGGGCTAGCCGCCTTGTTTTCCAAGAAGGTCACTCCGACAAACGCGGGCGCGTCTGCCCTCCCTCTTGATCCGCGGGATTACGGCCGCGCAGGTGGACCTTGCAGCCGAGGAGCTCGGCGAGAAGAGGTGGCGCTGTCGGAGCGCACCTGTGCGCGGTGCACGCGCGTCCAACTGCCGGCAATTAGCTACTCCCGAAATAGAAACAGACCTCCGGCCGGCCGCGCCTCCAGACGCGAAGAAACCCGCGCTGACCACTAGCCCCTTCCTTCCTCCCTAAACGTCGGCTCTTGTCCTTCGCTCCTTCTCATTCACTCGCTTCGGTGGCAATCACAAAGCGAGACAGCGGAGGAGGAAATCGGATCAGCTGAAAGACAAACTGCGCTATATATGAAGATATCAAAACAAGGCAGGATATAAAGGGCATCGGATAACCGACTCTCGGCAAATGACGGAACAATTTGCAGCAGAGACCAATTTGCAGCCCACAGAAAAGGGTAAAAAAGACGCAGCTTCCCAGCGTCATTCGACTTTCACCTCATTCGCAACCTGCTACGATACTGAGGAAATTTCGCTGAGGCATATGTGCTATAAAATAACGCTAGCGACAGATCCTAGCACCACCACGTTATAGCTCATATTCTGACGCGGCTTGTGCTTGCTCACTTTAATTATGTATGCTGGCACAAGTTATCCCTAACAGTTTTCGGAGTATAGACATGTGGGAAAAAAAGGGGGCTCTAAAATACTGGTAAGGGAAATCCAAAAGTGACGCTATTCCAGAGGGTAAATGAGCAATTAACTTTGTTACCGTTCGCTAGATTACTTGTGCCCCCCCCCCCTTCCCAACCAAGTAAAACAAAACAAGTATAACATTTCTGGTCGTTGTGCATCGACCCGTGATGCAAGCAATCACCGTAAGAAAACTTCAACCGAAGAGACGGAAATGTGCTAAGGTAGCAAATAATTTCGTAAAAAAAAGCTCTAAACCTCTAAATGAGGATAAAAGAAATACGCGTATGTATGTATGTATGTATGTATGTGCATACACATACGTACGTACGTATGTATCTATGTTTGCAAGCAATCACCGTAAGAAAACTTCAACCGAAGAGACGGAAATGTGCTAAGGTAGCAAATAATTTCGTAAAGCTCTAAACCTCTAAATGAGGATAAAAGAAATACGCGTATGTATGTATGTATGTATGTATGTATGTATGTATGTATGTATGTATGTATGTATGTATGTGCATACACATACGTACGTACGTATGTATCTATGTTTGCACAACCACCACATCAAAGCATATGTTATGGCGAGAGACATCGACATCAACTAAACAGTAAGCGCGCTAAGTGGAAACCCCGGCGAATACGCGAGCAATGCGATAACTCCGATTGTTCTCTGTAGCTGGATAAACAAAAGAAGATCCAATAGCGATCACGAAATTGCACGCGAAAGATCATCCCTTGAGAAGGCACGAACTTACGTAATGGATGCTTATTACAAGTATCACCGACTGTTGGGTCTTCTCCGTTCCTCTTGCAGCATGCATATCCTCCACCTTCGAAACCGTGAAGCCCTGCAACTTACGTCGTTTAGGAAAGAGCGAAGTTCCAATTTCACTCACTGCATATTACCTTTCATAGTATCCGTGCCGCTATGTGCTCTAGACTGGAGCGCCCAGCGCGAGGAGGAGCCTACATCTGCTACCGCACATATCCCTAAAGACGAAGTTCACTAATACGAACGCTTAGAGGGATCAGTACACGCGGCAACGGCAGAAACACCGCTGCGTGAAGAGCGAGCAGACGGTAGCAGGCTATCACGTGGGAGGCGTTCAACGACCGAAAGGAAGACTGCATCTGCGACAGCAACGGCCGCATTGCACTAGACTATAGCTAACGGCAATATGAATAGAGCGAGTCTTTAAATTACGGCCTACAGCTGCGGATGAGCAGGTGTGGGAGCTGTGAGCTATGTATAGCACTCCTAGTTATGGCGAACGTAAAAAACGCAGAGGGGGACACGGTCTTCGCCGTGCTCATATACAGAATGAATTTATTGCTAGATAGGACCACACTAGTTTATTCAGACGCGCAGGTAGCAGTAGGAAGCACCTAGAAAGTAAAACCTTGAGCTGAGAGCATTCGCAACGCCAGCGGGATCCTCCATGCGCGAAGTCTGCGCACACGAGAATTCCCGTGCAAAAATAATCTGGCGAAGTTTCAACAAGCATCGACGATGAAAGCACACACACACACACGCACACGCACACATACAAACGCAGAGAGAGAGAGAGAGAAAGGGGGAAAACCTTGCTTCATTTTCTCACTCATACGCCAATATTCTGACATGCAGTAATGACGTCTTACGAAGCTGTAAAGTATTTCTTTTTAAACACTCAGGCAACGTCGTCAAGTGAGAATAAGTATATTAGTCGCAAAAGCAAAACCGCAGACGACGTGTGGCAGACATACAGCAATCCTGACCGCCGGCACGCCGCGCGATTTCAAAACGCGACACAGCCGCCGGCAACACGCAACCAACGATAAAACACCACTGCGTCTTTCCGCGCTGTCGCGACACAGCTGCCTTTGTTGACTGCTTCCCGCCGCGCTCTCACTATACGAACGCCTCATGTCAGGCAACGCCCGGCGAGGAGGTACCAGCCGCGCACTCCCGGTTTCGAAATCACGACGGTCAGAGTGTTGGTTGTGTCGGGCCATGTCGCCTCTCATCTCGGCCATTGAGCGAACAGCCGAGGCGAAAGGAGATTAATCGAAACCAGCAGGGCACTCGGAAAGTGCCAAAAGCAGCGCGTAAGATTGACGTCTACAGGCGACAGCACCGTGGGGAATTCGGGCTCCCCACATGGCTGGATGGACAGAACGATCCTGCGAGGATAGATAACTCGCAAAGCAACACTAAACGAAGTGGGCGAGAGGTCTTAATTTCGTTAAGTGAAGAATGGGACAGCTGTACTGCGTATAGGGCTGTCCATTTGTGCAGGCGGGAGTACTTGTCCTCTGGGTAGTTGAACGCCCAAAAGCAAAAAGCGCGTCTTTCATGTATTACTTCTTCCAAAAGTTAAGAGTACGTGTACCCAGCTTTCAACGCATCAAAGCACCACACCGGCGGCAAACGACAGAAATGGCCGGGTCCTCCGCGGCTTCCAAGATTGGGCAACGCACAGAGCAAGGAGCCTGGTGGTGCAAAAACACAGCTCAAAGCCTCAGCCCGCTCACTCAATTAAGCTATAGGTATATCAACGTGAAGATAAACCAGACAGCACGCCATTATCCCTCCGTCATACTCAGAACGAACGGAAAGCGGTGGTAGAAGGCCTCCGATATAACTCATGTTTCGCAGCTGTCTGCGCAACATGAGCTTTGACTTTCGCAGCTATCTGAACAATGTTTTGTAAGCTGCCAAGATGAATCACTTTGTCAACAAAGCCACAGAAAAGAGTGATGTAAATCTTCGTTCCCTGTGACATCTGCAGTGATAGTTAAACGCTGGGTTATGACGTCGAACACACACACACACACACACACACACACACACACACACACACACACACACACACACACACACACACACACACACACACACACACACACACACACACACACACACACACACACACACACACCACTCAACGCACCTAACACTTCTCTTAATAGGTGGCGAAACTTTCTAATACTGTTAGTGGCAAGGTGAGCGTGCTGTGCATGACAATTAACCCTTTCGCAACAGAAACTATACTGATCAGTCTTGATCCACTGGCATGATTCACGCGCGACAGATCGCGGCACTATCGTCCTCGCCCCAAGAGCCACTGTGTGACTGACTCCACGTATACCCCCATGAACCTGCCCATGTACGGCCTGCCACGACAGTATCATTTGCTAAAGATAAAACACTTTTTGTTCGGTTCAGATCTATAAAAAAAGAACTAGTTATCGCAGATTTTCTTCTTTCTTTCATTTTATGTGGCACCATTGTATACGTTCTGCAGCACGCGGGCAGGGCGTCAGCGTGGCGAAACATCTTGAACTTCTTGCGTGTTCATATAGGCGTAAAACGCTCGTTCCTTCACTGAATGCAGTATATGTTGCTGAAACCTTCTCGTTAGCGGTACAATTCATTCAATCAAATCTATACGCCGCAGCACAGCCGAAATCGACAGATACAACTAAATATACGCATTCGTTAGAAGAAGCTAAGGCTTGACCTCGTCAGACAAATATATATATATATATATATATATATATATATATATATATATATATATATATATATATATATATATATATATATATATATATATATATCAGCATATCCACGGATTTAATAATGATGAGCGAAGCTTCGGATGGTTTTATCGGTGAACCGTCCGCCCATCTGTCTGTCCGTCTGTCTGTCTGTGACACTTGCGCCACCTGCTGAGTCATCCATAAACTAGGCGGTCACGAACCGGTCACAGTAGGACAAACCCACGGCTTTAGGAGCTTCGCCCCTAAAAACAGAGGTCATCAAAACATTGTCATCTTTCCAGCGTTGTGTGAGTCAAGAGCTTGTCTAATGTTCGTGTTCGTGCCCCCACGACGGTGATCTATAGTGGCTAAGGTACTTGGCTGCTGACCCGCAGGTCACGGGATCGAATCCCGGCTGCGGTGCCTGCATTTTCGATGGAGGCACAAATGATGTAGGCACGTGTGATTATATTTGGGTGCGCGTTAGAAAACCCCAGGTGGTCGAAATTTCCGGAGCCCTCCATTACGGCGTCTCTCATGACCATATGGAAGTTTTGGGACGTTAAACCCAACATGTAGATCAAGGTTTCTGACTATGCGTATATAACGACACCGACAGGCGAAGTGGATTCAGCTTTATACCATGTAACGGAAAACAAAGGGTATTTTCACTTGATTACCGTTACTTTTTGGATCCCGAGTCTGACTGATTGATTGATTGATTGATATGGGGGGTTTAACGTCCCAAAACCACCATAGGTTTATGAGAGACGCCGTAGTGGACGCGGCTCCGGAGACTTCGACCACCTGGGGTTCTTTTACGTGCACCCAAATCTGATCACACGGGCCTACATCATTTGTGCCTCCATCGAAAAAGCAGCCACCGCAGCCGGGATTCGATCCCGCGACCTGCGGGTCAGCAACCGAGTACCTTAGCCACTAGACCACCGCGGCGGGGCAGCATCCCGAGTCTATAGAATTGCGATAGTTGTTCTTTGGTCCTATCAGAGTTGCCGATGTCTCTTGGGTCTGCACAACTCATTCGTTTTTCAAGGAGGCGTTTGGGCCGCATTTTCTTCTACCTGGATTTTCTGTTTTCCATTTACCGGCATGACACAAGGGTCGGTGCGAGTTTCGTAGATGAAAAGGCCACATAGAAAGTGCTCCTGCGCATCCCGCGAAGGACCCTCTGGCGGCCGAGCCAACGCGAATGCGGAGGCAAGGACAGTCGAACGTCGGCGTCGCAGGACGAACGCGGTACGCTGGGGAGAGCTTTCATAGGCCGCCGCAACGCCGAAGCATCAGTGGCTGGCCGTCACAGCGCTTCGTCTTCGACGCCCCATTGTTGGGCTACTGCCGGCTCCAAACTGCTCCAGCGCGGAAGAAGATGGAACGCTTGGCCGACGACAAGCCCCAGTGGGACGCGTCGGTCTTAAAGGGAACAATGACCGCCACATCACTTGCTGCTGGCGACGGGGTCGCCAAAGGCGCAGCTGCGGCGCGCTCCAGGGTCGATGCACGACGTCGTCGGCCAGGCGCGCAGGTGTGACATGCCGAGGAGAAAATAACGAGGGGAGGAATCTCCGGTTCGGCGTATGCCTTTTGTTGGGAGCGCCGATGATAAATGAGACACACAGACGGGCGAACGCCCGCTGGTGCGTATTGACAGAAGCGCGTCCCAGCGGCCGACACAACAAAACGACCGGCGTCACCGGCGGCGAGAGACGACGGCACCTCGCCCGCAAAGCCCGCACTGCAGGTCGTGCGAGCGCGGGTCGCGGCAACGCCTTGAGAACAAGGTCGCCTCGCTTGGGAGAAGGCAGCGTTTCACTGCATAAATTTGTAGCGGCCATATCTCAGGGTCTTATAGTTGGTTGCGTCTTCTCTGTAAGCCCAAGCAGCGCGATACCGAAGCTCTTGCGGTTTGTGTTTTGTGTACGCTGCATAAACGCTCTTTTTTCTGGCCCTGGTGTTGCTGCACCGGTGCCGATGCACAAAAGTTTTTCTCTTTCTCCTCCAGCCTCTCTCGCGGAGCTGAAGGCCCGGGGATCTCTATCTTATTCTTGAATTTAGTGACATCTGTGTTTCAGTTCCTATACGCGGCGCACTTCGAAAAACACGCAGTCGTAGGCTGCCACCTGCGTGCACACCTGGCGCGCAGTCAGCAATTGACGGGACCGAATCACCAACCCCCGTAAATGAGTTATACGTGCCAACGCCATCGCCTCGTGGTGGTTGGCTGTGTCACTGGATCGTGGTGTCCTGGCAGAAGCGACGACCCACAGCAGGACCACCAGGAGTACACGAGCCTTCTATACCGTCTCATGTTACGAAAACAAACAACCACTGAAAGCTTTTGAATCACTGAAAAATGTAAGACAGTATCTTGATGTGGCCGAATTGATTATAGCATCGAGGCTTGTCGCTAGGTTGTTCAATAATTACGTGCCAATAGGGTGGCAGAGAGAGAGAGAGATAAATGTAACGCAAAGGCAGGGAGGTTGGCCAGAAAAGGTCTCCAGTGGGCC